TCCAGGTGCTAAAAGAAGGAAAGTGTTTTACATACTTGAATAATTAATTATTGTTTTTAACATACAGCAATAAAAATTTGTTGTGGTTATATTAAATTTTTTATAACACTAGATATGTTTCTTGCTTCCTAAAAGTTTAATGTGTCCTGCAGTAAGAGAGTGATTACGCTATAATGTAAATGTGCATGAAAGTACTTTCTCTTTCATATCACATTATTTGCAACTATACTGTCTTTCAGTGAGTGAAATCTAGTAAAATTACTTTCTTCATGTATAAAGTGCTCTTACTATCTGTGGTATCAGGTTTAGGTTACTGGTTCACAGACTAATGTGGTAGCCATGGGTTCTCCATGGGCTGGTGCCATGCCTCACATTGTAATATACCAGTAGTAGTCTATAATTTTGCCTGTGGTTCTGTATGGGTGTGAAACTTGGTCTCTGACACGAAGGAAGGAACATAGACTGAGGGTGTTGAGGATATTTGGACCAAAGTGGGATGAAGTGACAGGAGGTTGGAGAAAACTGTACATTGAGGAGCTTCATAACTTTTACTCTTCTCCAAGTATACTTAGAATGATCAAGTCAAGGAGTATGAGATGGGCAGGGCATGTAGCACGAATGGAGAAGAGGAATGCATATAGGATATTAATGGGAAAGCCAGAAGGAAAAAGACCACTGGGAAGACCAAGGCATAGGTGGGTGGACAATATTAAAATGGATCTTAGAGCGATAGGATGGGATGGTATGGATTGGATTGATGTGGCTCAGGATAGGGACCAGTGGAGGGTTCTTGTGAACACGGTAATGAACCTTTGGGTTCCATAAAATGCTGGAAAATTCTTGAGTAGCTGCAGGTTTGGCTTCTCCTCAAGACAGGCTCAGCTCCATAAGTAAGTTTGATTACTGCTATTGATTCTCCTGAATGTGTTTACAAGGTGTGGCAATAAAGAAACCGGATTCATGCTCTAACCCTTTATTAAAAAAAAATCAGACAGTCGAAATGTTATCCCCTTCAATGTAGTCCCCTCCCCGATCCCTACACCGCTCCATGCGAATTTTCCACTGTTGGAAGCAGTGCTGCAGGTCATCTTGTGTTATGCTCTTCAAGAGTTGCGTCGCTTTTGCTTTCACTGCATCCACGGACTCGAACCTGGTCCCTTTCAGCGCAGACTTGATTTTTGGGAAGAGAAAAAAGTCGCACGGTGCTAGGTCCGGAGAATACGGTGGATGTT